GCTCTGTCCTTGGCTTTCACAGAGTATCAACTCCGTGAGAATTCCTTCACGAACATATGATTTCAATTCGTCGCTGAAATGAGATGTTGCTCCTTCACAAAAAGGATGGCATTGAGTATCGCAGCAGGGGAGAAAAACTTACAGATACAAGGAGTCTTTTTCCAAAATTCTGCAGCCGAAGAATAGATACCGCGGAACATCCAGAAAGCTCTCTGGATTACACAATTTTTCTTTTCTAAAATTATAAATTGAAATGCTATCAAAAATATCCAAGAAACTACGCTGACTTACAAAAGATATTGGCAAAATGCAAGAAACACCGCTACCCCAGTTCCAGGCCCGATCATAAGCAGCGGCATCTGGACAGCGATAGACGATGGTAGTGGAGGAGGTGGTAATCGAAAACGAGCTGGCTCTTTATGCATTATCTGAATAACACATTTCCCCTTAGTCCTACCTCGTCCCAAATAACCCACATACTTGTATGGTATTACCTACTGTCAGTCCAAGCAACCACTCTGTTGCCAATCCTTTCCGAGGATACCTAAAAACAACGTCGAAGAGGGAAATTTGAAACCTCATGCAAGTGAGATTTCACAAAGCAATTCATGGACAAAAGGGTACCAGATTATAAACAAAAATTAGACATTTAAAGGAACAAAAAGTAAATTAATAGTATAAGCAACAGGTCAGGCATTAAGACAGAGAACCGTTTACCTTCGTCCATCTTCCGGAGGAAAGTCCATAACTGAATAGATGAAACGTACTCGTCTACCACAATAGGAAGACACACTGTAAGACCGAGGGATAAGTCGAGGAAGAAGTTCTAAATGAATTAAATTGCGAGATTGGTATTTATTTCAACATCAACGCGAAACGCTCGTTAAAGGAGCAACAAAACTAACTAAGAACTGTTTTTGATCCTTACCGATTAGCCTGTCAGGGGAAGGTTTCAAGCTTGGGAATGCAAACAAGATGTCAGCTAAAGAAAGCCCTGGCTAAAACAATTCTATTAACAAAATGTTTTTTGGTTAGAAACTAAGAACATG